AGCTCATATATTTTCACCGAAACTGGCGAACATTAATTTCGTTCCGAATGATTATGTGTTAAATGATAGTACAGGTGACGGTAAAATTGTCATTTCCTTCAAATGAAAACATCGAGAGTTTAAGGACATATTTCATTCATTGCTACCTTGCGCTGATGTATTAGAGAGGTAAAAACAATGGCTCTTTCTTGCGTCCAACGATATCTGAGCGTTCAAGGTCCATTGCGCTATGTACTGTCATTGTAGTTTCTGAATAACGCAAAGGTGCACTGACTGGGCCAAATGCATTATCGCAGTCGAACCAGTACTGCCCTTACCAAAAAATCTTATAGGCTTCTATAGCACTCTATAGTAACCTATAGGGAGCCTATAGGTTTCTATAGGTTTTACCTCCTATAGGATACATTTCTATAGTAACCTATAGGTTTCTATAGAACAACAAGCCTAAAGGTTTAGAAACCTTATATGAACCTATAGGTTTCAATAGGGAATTGTGTCTATAGGTTACATTTATATAGTAACCTATAGGTTTCTATAGATAAACACGCCTATATATTAGTAGACTTGTGGGTTTCAATGGGAACCATTTTCCATAGATTTGGTTTCTATAGTATCTTATCGGTTTCTATATACTAATTGATCTTCATGTTTAATAAACTACAGATTGAAATGTTTATTGTCAATAGGTTATGTAGGTATCACATTTTATTTTTATACGTTACATCAGGTTTCTGTACACTTCATTGCACATGTTATACTTTTACAGTAATTTAATCAACAGTTTTCTAAAAATCACCAAGTTTGTTGACTGATCATATCAATGTATATACCAGTAACTGTGATTTTGTTCAGTGGGAAATTAAGAAAATGGCACAAATTACGAGAGGCATGGAGCCAGGAACAGCCACTGGTGGTGCTATTACAATCTAAACTTATTCAGGATTGCAAATGCTCATATCGGCAAACAGTGTAAAAGGAACAGACACTTGCTAAATATGGTGACAATTCAATGATGATAGAAAGCATGTATAGTCTTCAAATAACCACAATAGACAGTGGGGGTCAAGACCGAAAATACACGATTCCGGAGTTTCATAATTGCTTTCTATTAATAATTGCACTTTAAATTAATATTCATGTAATATGTCTACCTTTAACCTAGTTAAAGGTAATAGCATATTGTGTGCAGTGCTCATGAGGTTTCATACTATGATTTAAGGTATTACTAGTACCACACTGGGACGTTGACCCTTTAAATGTGACCACACTAGGTTGTATACCTTTGTAGTCGTGGTGGTCTCTTTATAACCGCTGTGTTTTCTGCCATCACAACTGGTATTAGCCTGACGTGTAGGCGTGAGTACGCCCTCACCGGCCGAACGGCAACAGACCCCACTGTGTTGGGTTTGGAGCATCGTGGAGGGCGCAACTCACGCGACCTCGTCAGGCTAATCTAGTATAACCCAAAACCCAGAATCACTGTTCATTCTGTTGAAACTTCAAACAAAATATTGCCTTTAACAATGCACTGCTGTAACTATATCTTTCATTTTTTCTTAGAAATGTTTGTCATTAGACTAGTTCTAAAACTTCCAATTAACAACAAAGAGGAAATTATACAACAATATATAGATGTCCTGGAAAACAATCCATCTGTCAAGGTCGCAGTCATCGATCACATCACCAGTTCATCCGCCATGGTAATGCCAATTAAAGAACTCATAGTAGTTTGTCAAAGTAGAGGTGTACAGGTGGTAATAGACGGGGCACATGCACCTGGACAACTACAATTAAATCTAGAAAAGCTTGGTGCTGACTATTACATTGGTGAGTATTAAAGCGTAACATGTCCCATACCAAACACGACACGTTTCTGCGTGCGTTAAATATATTGGTTGTCGGAATATCAGTTTGTCGGACAGATGTACCCTCTCAATTGATTTTGCCAGCCGCAAGGAGTGTTGAATTACCAGTGTGATTCGGAGGGGGGTACGTTTGGAATGTACAGTGAATTTGTTGCATGTCTCACCAGAAGAAAACGCGAGTCTGTCAGCAGGGGAACTCGCCCAGCAGAGTGAGACCACATGGCTGCATTTTCGACCCCACATATCCTCTTTTTGGAGGATTCAGCCTGTACCTCAAATGCAAGTATGACGTGTTTCTATAATCGTCTATGTATCTGTTTATATGTTAATGTACCAGGTAATTTGCATAAATGGGTATTTGCCGTCCGTGGTAGTGCATTATTGTGGATACACCCAAAACACTGCGAGTCTATTAAACCACTGATCACGTCTCTCTGCTATCGGCAAAGTTTGTTCGATCAGTTCTCCAGTCAAGGAACACGCGATTCTACTCCTTATTTCTGTGCACCGGCGGCTATACAATTCTATGAAGATATTGGTGGATTTGTAAGTTTCTATTATTGTTATTAACATGTACATTTCCACTTGCCAAATTTTGCTTCTTCTAGACGAATAGATGTTTTATACATGTAGAATACAGCTAACTTTCTCCCTCTTGTATTTTGCCATGCATGTGCTGTCTTATTTATCAAGTACACTTTTTTGTTTTCTGACAGTGCCTGCACTTTTATGATGCTTTTACTGATTCTATAATGCAATTGTGGATCCCTTCATAAAAAACGATGTTCAGATTTTTTTGGAAATGTGGATATTTGTGAATTTAATTTAGTTTTGCTGACAATTTTGACTATGTAGATCATAACATATTAATTACTGTTAAAATAATTAATCTGTCATTTGATCATTGACCTTGTATTTGCAGGAGGAAATCGCCAAATACAACACAGAATTACTTCTTTGGGCGATGGAGTTATTAAAAGAATCTTGGAAGACAGAAAGTTTGCCTATACCTGACAGTATGAGGGCGCCTTTTATGGGTATTGTTGCTTTGCCAGACACCAGTAAGGGCCCAATAATGAATACGAATGACAAGAACATTCCTCAGCTTGTCCAGAGAATCTACGAAAAATACAGAATATATGTTATGATTGTATATCACCAAGAACGTCTCTGGTGCCGCCTGTCAGCCCAGGTTCACAATACTAGAAATGATTACATCAAACTTCGAGATGCTGTCATAGATATGTTATAGATAAAAAAATATTATTATTATTATTATTATTATTATTATTATTATTATTATTATTATTATTATTATTATTATTATTAGTTTATTTCCAAAAGCCCAGTTGTGGGTAAACATGCAACATTGCATCTAAATGACTATGCCATGTGACGGGCTAAAACCAATGTATTTAATTTGCATATTAATTTGCATATACATTTGCATAGTGATTAAAGCTGTTTTTATTAACAATGAGTATAAATCAATTTAGTTAGGTCACGTGGTAAGCATCTTGTTAGCGTGTCATTGTTTACAAACAAGCGTCTACCCATGAGTCTTTGCGTTTTCAATTCCCGCGCGTGCGCAGATGACAGCCCTCCTGCTTTATATGCTAAATTGTGGAAGGGTCAATATTGATTTGATGAAATTTTATATATTTATTTAATAAACGTCACTAGAAATCGGTTGATCATTTGAAAAACAAACCTGAGAATGTCAAGGTAACTCGATACATGCCTAGTAATCAGTGCACAGTAATTGTCCAATTCGCGTAATAATCAACCAATTTGTTACAGTTCCACAGATATCTTTAATAACTCTCATTCGACTTCACTGAACTTGGTAAATAAGTACTCTAAGAAAAACTATACCTATGTACACACATTAATTCTATTTTCTATAACTCTTAAAGTTTACAATTACAATTATGTGGATCAGATTACTTTCACATTTATTTTTGTAATTGCTGGTGAAGTCGTCAAACAAAATTGGCTTGATTATTATTATGATAGCTGTTTTTTTATTTAAAAAAGTTACATTGTATACATATATATATATATGCAGGGTATCGAATGTTTTCTCTTCCATTTGTTGCATCGTTACCGACCTTGCTGTGGTGTGTGTACTAGTATGTCGCTTTTATTTGCATTGGTGCGTGGTTGAGACCACGTTTAGCACTGAACTATTGCAGGGGCGGGAAATATTGTTGTAGACGAATAACCATTCATGTTGTGCCTAATATACCTTGGTTGATAATAGTTCATGTCTGGTGCTCATCGGTCAAAATTATACCTGTGTTACACGAATTGTATAAACGTACACAATTATAAAATTTATTTATTGATTTGTTGATATACATTTAAAGAAAAGATTCACCAAGTATTATGGTAATATTCTTTCTCAAAATACAACTAATATAAAATGACAGCTACGTGACTGTCTAGACTTGCATCCGTAACTATGAGATTATATAAATGTTTGTATTGCGTGGCTTCAATTAAAATTAACAAAAACACATTTAATTAGTAGACAATTACTTTACATAATGATATGTGCTATCTCTCAGTAAAAGCTCTGCCAGCTCCACTCATTCGTTGAATAATCATTATGTTTTAATTTATTACAAAAAAATAGTGTACTATGTAAACGTTTCCTTTTTTTTTATAATATTCTAAAATGCTACCATCTTCATTGACTTCATCTTCTTTCAAAAGCAAGGCCAAATGAGTAAGTGGGTGCCTTAAATTTTACAAATTATTTAAAATTATTTAACTGTTTTTCAGAATTTGAAACATTAATTTCAAAATTGGGTTATAAAGATACTCTCAGTGCTACAAGGGCGTTCCCTTCATCGTCGTTCACGGTATATCTTTGTCAATTTCAATGGCAGTTAAATCCGTTTGGTTGTTGTTGCCCACTTATACATACCAGGGAGCTGTAATGAGGTTTTTAACTACAAAAGTTTTGACGGAAATCTCCGAACTTAGCCGATGATTATTCATGAACCATAATCCACGTAATCCCCTACTCGAAAACAGGGGGATGGAAACCGCTACACAAACTTTCGTTATTGCAAAGTAAATAACGGCGTCCATCATATCATCAAAGGGGATAGCTTGGTCCAGTCTCCTTCTCATTACAGCTCCCTGTACATACTTACTCGAACAAATCCGCAGTCCTTGAAGTTTACATTAGAACCAGTAGCAACATTAGCATAAGTAATGAAGATGTATAACAACAGTCAATACCATGCGAGCCACCTAGGGAGGAAGAGAAACACTTGCCACGTTAAGGTACATATATGATGAACGGTGCGTATCAGTAATTCCAAAGAAATACAAATTGGATTGTTCATTAATTCGTCAACTGAATATTTCTCGCTTGACTATACCAGAGTTTGTAATTTATAACAAATCACAACTGATTGTTAAAACCACAATTTCACATCGAGCAATTACAATGTCAATGCACATGTTCCTATATGTAACGCCCTCCAGCGACGAAGCACATCTATGACGTAACTACCGGTAATACGTAGATCGGTGAAGCAATGTTGTGGATGTTCTTGATTTGGAGTATATCTTATAGTGAATCTCTAAAAAAACAGTATTTCCATAGATTAAAACACAGTCCCTCACGGTGTTGATGGACTGTGATTAAAGCAATATCAACGATGTGAACGGCCTTCCATCCATGCATGAAGCGCTTTGTCACTAGAGGGCGCAACTTGCAGTGTGATCAGCATACATGCACTACCTGATTCTTCCGTGGGAGCCTGAGTGGTCGTAGTCGGTGGAGCAGTGGTGGGAACTGTTGGAATAAAAAAACTGAGATAGTTAGTGACTTATATACATAATATGTGATAATCGTTGTTCTAAGTAATTTCTCAAATGGCTAGTTAACAATAGCGTATAAGAAAATGTTTCAAACGGCGGACTAATCATAGACCCTATGGACTAATACATCATCCATATTTCTATTGTTTGTTGCTATATATAGAACTTAAACAAATATGCATAGCCTTATTTATTTAGTGCATGTTTTATAAAAATTAAACTATTGCCATGAAGTCTTTTTCTCTTTTTAGTCATGCACTCAACATTTAGATTAGTTATTTCTTTAGATGTATATAATGTATAGTAGTGTTCACGCTACAAGAAGTACGGGCTAAGATTTAACCTAATCTAATATGTTTGCATATCAGATAGACCCAATTGCGTCCACGCACTGTAGGGAACAGTGCTTAGCACCGGCTAAGGAACGCCCAAACTTGTTAAGAATATACAAAAATCATTTCACCATTTTAACTATGATTACTAAGTACAGTACTAGGAAGATATACATGTTAGTTCAAAGTTTATAAAACAATACCCATACAAGTTCAAGTGCAGATTGCAGAATAACAGAAAGTAGCACATCGAATCTCATCGTTTGTTTATTTAGAACAATGTTCGTCTATGTGTGCGCGTTGATTGTCATGTCGGGAATGGCATGCCGAAATGAATATTTATGAATATATTATTAAACATTGAATACAATGGCGTTTATGGAGCTTAACCCGAGCTAAGCGTTCACGCACACTTCGTTCACGCACACACGTGCTAAGGAGCAGTGCCAGTGCGTAAACGCTACTTATAAGTCCTTCATTTCACAATTCAATATTTACATACTATAAAACAAACTTAGATTGTGAACAAGTGAATAATACATAATGTAAACAACATTCAAGCCGACTTTCCACTAAAGGGTAGCACAACAGTCGAATCCCATTTTTCCATAGGCGTGGGCGCACTAACTACCGACTGGTCTGGACCGTAGTTTGTTTATTTATTTATTTATTTATTTATTTATTTATTTATTTATTTATTTATTTATTTATTTATTTATTTATTTATTTATTTATTTA